GATCACAAGAGGGGTGTGCTACCCAGCTCTGTACCACACTGGCCAGTATTCTTCCAGGGTGTTTGTCTCTTGGTGCCCAGGAAGCCTTTAAAAAACATTGTAATTGTGCAGAATACAATGCCTGCTCTATTTGAGTAACTCTCATCCTTCCCCTTCCTTCCATTCCCCTCTCTTTTATTTTATTTAGCTGTTTTATTATTTTTGTTTTTGAGACTGACTTCCTCTGTGTAGCCCTGGTTGTCCTAGAACTCACTCTGTAAACCAGGCTGGCCTTGAACTCAGAGATCTGCCTGACTGCCTCCTGATGCTGGGATTAAAGATGTGCACCACCACACCTGGCTCTGGCTTTTATCTTATTATTTTATGTGTATAGGTGCTTTGCCTGCATGTATGTCTGTGTACCACATGTGTGCAGTGCCTGTAGATGCTGAAAGAAAGCACTGTGCCCCATGGAACTGGAGTTACAGACAGGTGTGAGCTACCATATAGGTGCTGGAAATCAAATCTTGAGTCTTCTAGAAGAGCAGCCTGTCTCTGCAGAAACATCTGCTCAAACCACCACTGTTTGCCCGTTTTGTTGTGTTTTGAGACAGGGTTTCTCTGTGTAGCCTTGGCTGTCTTTGGAAATTACTCTATAGGCCAGGTTGGCCTACAGAGATCCACCTGCCTCTGCCTCTCAAGTGCTGGGATCAATGGTGTGGGCCACCACCTCCCAACTTTTTTTTTTTTTCCTCAGACAAGTCTTGCTATGCACCCTGGCTGGCCTCAAACTCACTGAGATCCAATTGCCTCTGCCTCCAGAGTACATGTGACTTTAATCTGTGTAGCTAGAAGTAGTTGCTTTTTTTCTTTTCTCGTTCATGTATATGTGTATATGGGCACCCACACAGGAGTGTGGTCAAGGAGACCAGAATAGGGCAATGGATCCCCTGGAACTGGAGTTACAGAACCTTGTACGGCAGCCAAAGTGGGTGCTGCAAACCAAGCCCCTGTTCTCTGCACCAGCAATTACTGAGCCATCTCTCCAGGTCCTAGATGTAGTTTCTTAAGTGGCTATTTAAATTTTATGTAGCCAAGGATGACCTCGAACTCCAGATTCTCTTGCCTCAACCTTGTGTTAAACCCTAGCCCAAGAAAATTATACCACAGAGAAACCCCTGAGGACCTGGTGGTCATTGTGTCATAGAAAACTCTTGCCACACAGACCCGTCTACTGAAGACCCCTACAGTGAGAGGCTTCAGTGCCAACTGAATGTCTCAACCTGATGCTTCCTCTGTGGCAATCTGGCCATGTGACACACATGCTGGTCCAGAACCATACCAAGCATAAGAGGCCCAGTGTCCCTGCTCCTGGCTCTTGGCAGGGGAAAAAACAATTAAATAATAATTTCAATTTAATAAAACCACTGTGAAGTGATATAGAGACTATTCTGTTTTGTTTTGTTTGGATGGGAAATTTCAAATCAGACCGTTAACAAAGAATCACGCTTAAGGCAGCCTATGACCTGTGGGTTTAACCTTCATCCTGTCTCAAGTGTAAAACTCTAATCAGAAGAATTTTAGGGACAAAACTAGAAATTGTTTTTATCTCTCCCAAGACCCAGCCTGAGATTTCTTTACCCCTGGGCTGGGTATGGTGGAGCACACCTTTAGCTTCAGGGCTCAGCAGACAGAGGTAGGCTGCTTTCTGTGAGATTCAGGCCAGTCTGCTCTATGTAGTGAGCTTTGGCTTTGTGCCTGGTGCCTGATGGCTTTGGAACAGAAGAGGGTTTTGACTCCTCCAGAACGGACTGACCCATTAAAGAAACATTCCTTAGGTAAGAATAGCTTGAGTAGGCATGGTGCATACTCATGCCCTTCTGTCCAACATGGGGAGGCAGAGGAACTCTATGAGTTCCAGACCAGCCGGGACTACATATAGTGAGACCCTGTCACAAAACAAAACCACAAAATAGTAAGTGTCCCTTGGTGGCTCTTTGCCAGGAGGGTCAAGCCAGGTCACTCAGTTCTAGGCCAGCCTATATTACAGGAGAAAACAGTGTTAGAACTCTGTATACTCTGTGCCCTGGCTGGCTGAGATGTTGCGGGTCCCAGCCCTGAACTCCCACAGCCTCAACTCTTCAGAGCCTTCTCCATCATGACAGGGTACTTTCCTAAATCAGGAGCCAAAACTAATCCCTTAGAAACTTGTTTGAGAAGCCACAGCTACTTGCGCCTGCGCCTTTCTGAGTACCTTTCTTTCTCTTAAGCTTCAAGCTTTAGCCTACAGTAAAATATCCTTATCAAACCCCAAATCTGCATAGTTACAACAACTGTGTGGCTGAGCAGCTGAAAGCACAAAGGGCAGGAGTTCTACCCCCATTAACTGTATCTAGCTCCGGGTCAGAACGAAATCTCCAGGCTCCAGACATAAACTCTCTCACGTATACATACACACACACACACACACACACACACACATTAAAAACTTTTATGTGAGACAAGACGTTATGTCCTTCGATTTCCTCTTCTGCATTCCTTATAGCATAGAAATAAGACAGCCTTTACATGTTAATTTACTTAGGGAGTGCAGGTTTCATCTCCCTGGTGAGTCAGGCAAGAAAGATAACTTGGGGCTGGTGAGTTGAGTCAGTAGGTAAAGGTAGTTGTTGTAGAACCTGAGCTCGGTTTCTGGGCCCCACCCGATAAGAGATCATGACTCCCGCAAGTTGTTCCTGGCCTCCACACACATGCACAAGAGTAAATGTAACTTTAAAGAAATACAACAAAATGAAGATAACATGCATTCGACAGGTTATGGCATCTCAGGTGTTTGCTTGTTTACTTTGGTAAGCCTTGAACCAGAAACTAAGGCTTTGTGCCTGCTGGGCAAGCTCTGTACCACTTAGCTGCAAGAATACAGCTATGTCCACTATTGCTTTTTCTCTAACTTCTCCAGTGGAATTCTCAGATACAATTCTTTAGTAAGAACAAGGAGAGCAGATCGGCAGGTCCAAGGTGCTATAAAGCAGTAAGAATGCCTTAAACTCTATCTAGCACAGTCTAGAACTAGGTAGATAGGGGGGTGTTAGAGAATTTGCATCTTAACAAGATTCAGCCCTGGGTCTGAGCTACCGCTTCCAATTAGCACATCAAAGAAGTTAGCCAGGTACCATTGATAACATCTTTTAGAAACAACACCGGAAAACTACTTGAATGAAGTATTAAAATACATTTACCCAGCCAGGCAGTGCTGGACTCTTATGATCTCAGCCTTGTGCGAGGCAAAGGAGGCAGAGGCAGGAGAATTCCTGCAACCTCAAAGCCAGTCTGTTGAGTCCCAAGCCACCTGAGGGTGGCTCATGGTTTTAAACCCAGCACTCTCTGTGAGTTCGGAAGCCAGCCTGCTCTACACAGCTTGAGTTCAGGACAGCCAGAGCTGTCTTGAAAAAAACAAAACAGGAAAAAAAGAAAGAAAAACTGTGGGAATTTGGGGTTTCGTTCTACTTTTTTTGTTGATACACTTTGACACAATTTACTCCAAGTATTTCTGGAGTAGGGAGATAGCAATTTATAAGGTTAAATTTATTATGGGGGGAAGGTTGAGACATGGTTTCTCTGTATCTTGGGAGCCTGTCCTGGAACTCACTTTGTAGACCAGGCTGACATAGAACTCACAAAGATCTACCTACCTCTGCCTCCTGAGTGCTGGGATTAAAGGCCTGACCTAGAACTCAAAGAGATACTGTTGCCTTTGCTTCCTGTGTGTTGGCGTTCGGATTACAGGTGTGAGCCATCACACCCAATTAAAGTTAATTTTAGGAGCTCAGCAATGTTTATAGCCAGGTAGGTATGCAGGCCCATGCTGAAATACCAGCACTGGTATGGAATGGGTCAGGATAGAAAGTTTCAAATTGGAAAGTGGTGGCACACACCTTTAATCCCTGCACTGGGGAGACTGAGGTGGCAGATCTCTGAATTGGTGTCCAGCCTGGTCTACACAGTGAGTTCCTGGACAGCCAGGGCTACCCTAGCTCAGAAAATAAACACGCAAACAAACAAGAACCAAAGAAACCAAACAAATAAAAGCACCTACTGAGAGAGACCTGAGTTGTGTCTCTTTTAAAAACTCGATGTGGAGTTTTGTTGTGAGCCTTTAATCCTAGCACTTTGGGCAGAGGCAGAAAGATCTCTTGAGACTGAGGTCAGTCTGTGATACACATAGATTGTCTGGACAACCAAGACTACACAGAGTCTCCAAAAATGAAAGAGTTTGATACTATTAAATGTATAACCCATGAAACAATTCATAAGTATAGATGCTTAAATGTTTAAATACATATACCATGAACTGCCAACTTATTTAAGTGTGTGTAACATACATGTTTATTTAGTAGCATTACAAAATGAATAGTCTCCGAAGATTTAAGATGAGGCAGGTGAAGGAAACTTTATAATTAACTTAATTAAGAATTAACTGGCAGCTAGAGGAGAATTGCTTGCTTATTCTAAAATATTTAAATCCAGTTCACCTATCAATAGTCATCTCCAAGAATGTAACAAACAAAACAAAATCCCTGACATTTCAGGAAAGCAAGAATAAAATTTCTACCCTCCCTCCCTTTTTTCTTTTCTTTTCTTTTTTTTTTTTTTTTTTTTTTTTTTTTGTGACAGGATCTAACTTTCTGTGTTTACCAGGGCTGGCTTAGAACTAACTGAGATCCACCTGCCTCAGCCTCCCTAGAACCAGGATTAAAGGTGGCGGACCCCACACCCAGGCAACATTTCTAGTGTTTTTGTCCCAGGTTGGTGTTAAGGCAGAGCAGGCAGTGTAGTTAATCCGACAGCCCTCGCCTTTAATCACTGCCTTATTAGCATTAAAGTAGCCTAGAGGCAGCTTTACTGGACTTTAAAAGGAAACCAGATCTCATTGTTGGCTCACTTCGCCTCTGCTAGTGAATTTGGGTTTCGGTCTTCTCCAATACTTATCAATTTTGTTTGGAGCTAACCTGCCCCTCGCCATGGAGGAACCATCAGAAGTGTTGGACTCCGTTGTGAACCCAGACCCTCAGACGACTGATGAGCAAGATGAACAAGACCACTCGGACGACTCAGGTAGGCCGGCCTTTCAGCCCGGGGAGAAGTCAGGTGGCGGCCATCCTTTGTCACCTTGCTAGGGAGTGGGTGGCTGCTACCCGGGACCCCAGCCAGCGCTTGTAGATGGAGGACCAGGACTTTAAAGTCATCCTCTACAAAGCGAGTTCATAGTCAGCGTGGAGTTCCAGATAAACCCAAGCCAGAGGTGGCTGGGAACCCACCTTCCTCTACAAGAAAACACTGGTCCAAAAAGGAATGAAAAGAAGGAACTAATATTGCAGGGGGACCGCGTTAAGGGCAACAGTGGGAAAGGTTTCGGAGAAACGCAGCGTGGGGGTTCTAGCAAGGCAAGGTGGAGCATCATTTCCTTATCAATTGGTCGCTGCAGTGGTTCTTAAAACATACTTTGCTTTGGTGTTTTGCTTTGTTTTAGCTCAGAAATCCCTTTAGTTTATTTGAGACAGGAAGGATCTCACTATGTAGTCCTGAATACCATCTCCCCAATTATTTATTTTTAAGTGCATTGATGTTTTGCTTATGTGTATTTCTAAGAGGGTTTCCTGGAACTGGACTTAACAGTTGTGAGCTGCCATGTGGGTGCAGGGAATTGAACCCGGGTCCTCTGAAAGAGCAGCCAGTGTTAGCACTGCTGAGCCATTTCTCCAGCCCCATCCTGGGACTTTTTGTAGGCTAGCCTGGCCTCAAATTTGAGATCCTCGTACCTCTGCCTCTAGAGAGAGTGCTAGGACCAAACACAAGCTTCTGGTCAGGTTTTTCCATTTTAAACACTGTACCACTGACTCTGGTGCGGGGCGGGACGATGGTGCAGCTGCTGTTGAAATTCATTTGCCCTGAGGACCTCCAGGTTTGCATCTCATGGGGGGGGGGGCTATGGGCGTGGCTTGCAGCGTGGCTTGTGTAAAGCCCTCTTTGGCACGACTAGATCCTTCCTCAGCCAATCTGAGAGGAAAAAAAAGTTTGCCCTGGATCTGCCCTACCTGAAGTTAGGCGTGGCCTCCTTATTTCCCAGTGGTGCCTTTGTTTTGGGGCTTTAGTTTTATTTTTTGAGACTGTTGCCTCTGCTGGCTCAAAAACTCACTGTTTAGGGCAGGTTAGACCCAAATTCTGTCAATAATCCCATCTGTATCTCAAACCTGGAAATTGCCGAGGCGAGCCACTATGACCTTGACTGAGCCTGTACTTGTTCCTGTCCTTTAAGAGGCTAATTTACTGGGTGTGAATGGGGAGAGTAGGGTTGATTTCTTTAAAGTGCCTTGTTACAGAGTCCAATGAGAAGCACTGAGAACTAACGCAATTCGATTTAGGTGGAAAGTTAACAGCCTGTTTTCTAAAGGGCTCCAGAGCCTACACCTGGGCAAGCCACCCACATTCCCAGCACAGTTGGCTTATTGGTGCAGAGTCTCTGCAAGTGAGTTTCCTGCACGTGCGTGAATGCAGGTCTCAGAACCTCTGGACCTAGAAACAGGCAGTTAGGCCACGGGAACATTAGTGCACGGAATAGCGCATGGCAAAGAAGCCAGGGGATCTGTCTCTGCACAAACACTAGGATATCTGTGTGGGGCATTCATTCATTGTCTTGGAGAATGGTGGACCTCACACTGATGGTTCTTCTGTTCACTTGTGTTTCAGAAGTCTCACAGCCAGAAGAAATATTAGCGAGGGACCTGAAAGAGCTGACTATCAGCCCCCGTGCCAAGAAGCTTCCTCATCGGCCAGTTCGTCGCCGCCATGGGCGCCGCCGCATCATCTCAACAAAGATAAAACCAAAACTGGTTGAGAACAAAAGTGAAGCAATCTTGAGAAAGGTCCAAAGTGCCTTTCCCAGGAGACAAGTCCGCACATTGCTATCTGTGCAGAACGACCCTGTAGCAAGGATGAAAAGATTTATGCGGGTGAGTTGCATTTGTGAACAGGACTATATTATATTAGATAGCAAGCCCAGCCTCTGGAGATGACTGAAATTACCATGTAGTTGACTGCTTCTAATTCCCAGCCCTTCGACTTCCAGGGCTATCCTCTGCTACATAGTCAGAGGCCAGCCTGAGCTATATGCAAATAAGCAGTAGTAAGCAGCAGTCAGTCTGGTCACAACTTTTTGCTATTTTGGGGGGTCTCCCTTTAGCCCAGGCTGGCTTCCAAGTCAGTCTACACACTTGCCCCTCATTCTTCCCCAGTGGTGGGATTGACAGGTTCCTGAGCTACCCTACCATCTAAGGCTAACTTAGATTGGATCTCAGAGCCATAGCTGGCCTGTTCCTCTAGAGACCAGGCTGGCGTTTACCTGGGTTGGTCTTCCTTACAGTGCTGCCAGTAACAACTCTTTTTTGCAGTAGATGTTTTAACTTTGTCTTGATAGTTTAAATAATTTTGGCTTTGTTTTTCTCAAGATTGAGAAGAAACTAAGAAGTCGTAATGGAGATGCGGTAAATAACTTTTTTTATTGCTAATACATGTTGGTGGGTTGGGTGTCTGTGTCCTGGGTTTTGACAGGGACTGTGGGGCTAGGGTACATGGTCTCAACCACTAGGAATTCTGGTTATTGTACCCTCACCCAGGTGAGGGTGTATGCTTGTTTGGCTCACAATATAGATTAACTAACCTGTTGCCTTATTTCTTTCAGTATGAAGAAGGTGAACCATTCAGATGCTTCTGCACTTTCTGCCTGTATCAAGGATGGGACCCTTCTGAGAATGCTAAAATAGGGCAGGATTAGGACAGTCAATTCAGGGCTATATTGTATACTGCCCTTATCTGCTGATACTGCCATGCAGCAGATTAAACTGCACAGCAGAGAGTTCTGTGATAGTTTTTTTTTGTTTGTTTTGTTTTTTCCTGGTGCTGGATGATCTCTTTCCACACTAGTTATGTTACATCAACTTATAGAGAATGTGTAAAGCATATGGACGACTCAAAGAAGCAAGGGTGGGCCTTAGAATCCTCAAGTCTGCAGTTACTATCAATAGAATGTGGTGGTTTGGGTTAGAAGGTAATAATTGGAATAGGTCTAGTTTGTAGAAATTTGTAATAAAAGGCAATCTTGCTATCTTAATTTTTAGTAATAAATACACTAAACTAATTAAACAAACCACTGGAGATTGTTTGGAAATTATTTCCATGTATCCATTTATTGTATGTGTGCATGTGGAGGTCAGAATGGAATGTCAGTATTTTTCATCTTAGTATTGATCTCAGGTCATCCTGTCACCAGGCTTGGCAGCAAGCTCCTCTTCACCCACTGAGCCATCTAGATGGCCCCTTGTTTACATGTTTCCATTTCTGTATATGTGTATATTCCGTGTGTGTGTGTGTGTGTGTGTGTGTGTGTGTGTGTGTGTGTGTGTGTGTGTGTGTTGAGGGGGGGAATCAGTACTTTCCTTGTGAAGTCTGGGGATCAAACTCAAGTGTTCCAGGCATATTGGCAACCTGATGGGTTTGAGACAGGTCTTAATATGCAAGAAATCTTTCCTCTGCTTCTAAAAGTCTCGGGGGTTAGATGTGTGCTACCAGCAACCCTGCTTATTTAGGTCTCCATGAGAACTAGCTGGTCTTCAACTCTGGTCTTGTCTCTTGTAGCTCTCAAGTTTTCTATCACAGGCATGTGTCAGAGATGTGCAAAAAGCCTGTCTTGTAAGGACAATTGATAGTAAATTCTAAGTTGCAAGTATTGTGGCATTGTATTGTGGTTGTCTCACTAGAAGTGTCAAGAATGTTAGGAAGATGGCCTCAGGAACTTGCTAGGCATATAAAGAGGGTTTCCCTTGGGATCTAAGTGAGTTTAAGTTTATGCCAGCTAGGTGTCCTGATGAAACTAGAGATTACTATCTCTTCCCCCAGGTTGAGGCCACCACTTCAGATGTTATAAGCCCATGTTAGTGGCCTAAGTGTCTAACTGAGCAGCTATGCATCATCTCATGCCCTACTCCAGTTAATTTGATATAACAGCTCAGCACATGTAAAATATCACAAAGCTTGTAGATGAGCAGTCCAGAAGAGATGCAAGTACAAAAGTACAGGAGAAAGCTAAACTACTTTCTGGGAAATCTCCAGCCACTTAGAACATATGGTTAGAGGACACCCTGCTGGAGAGGGTTATCTCCCTCCTAACCCTGTCAGGTTATCAGACTTGGTGGTAGGCCCCTTGGTTCACTAGACAGCTCAGCCTACAACTTATTCCCATTTAATAGAAGTATTTCATCACTGGCCGTTTATCAACCCTTGCAGCTTACCCAGAAATGTCTACCCTTTGAGTTTGCTTAGCCTAAGTTGGCCTTGGACTTGGTATCTAACAATGATGGCCTTGAATGTATGTAGTAGGTGTCAATACTAAATGTTTCCAGGCATCCACTAGGTCTGAACTATCTGTAGATAACAAGACAACATGGGGTCTTGAAACACCCATGTACATAGGCTCAACCTTTGTGTGTAGAGAGCTGGGAGTTCAAAACTTGGCTTCTCTGTGCAGCCCTGGCTGTCCTGGAACTCACTCTATAGACCAGGCTGGCCTCAAACCCAGAGGTCCACCTGCCTCTGCCTCCCAAGTGCTGGGTTTAAAGGTGTGTGCCACCACCACTAGGCTAAATCCAATATTCTTTAAACATTGTCTTCTGCCCTCCCATTATGTGTTAAGATAAAGTACAAAAGAAGCAGCTGGAGAATTGAGATGAAACACAGAGCACTGTACACAAAGACCATGCTGATGATGGGTAGGGAAGTTTTTGTGCCATCCAGAAGAGAGGGCAGAACACTGAACACTAGGTACAGACCCAGGCAATTGGTTCCAACAAATGGCCAAAGCTCCACATTGACAGATGTTTTAGCAATACTGACATTCATCACTAGTTTCATCTGAGTAGGTGTTGCCCTACTCAGAATAAGAATAAAGGAAATTGGAACAGTCATGGGTAGCAAAGCCATCTTCCCCCATATGAATTTAAGTTGCTGGCTAATAAAAACAACCTACTTATTTTAGTTACAATCACATTAAGTTTATAGATGGAATTTACTATTTAAGAGTATGGGTGAGGCTAGGAAGTGGTGACCTTTAATCCTAGCACTGGGGAGGTAGAGGTAAGGGAACCTCTGAGTTCAAGGCCAGCCTGGTCTACAGAGTGAGTTCCGGGGCAGTCAGGACTACGCGGAAATCCTGTCTATAAAACAAAACCGGGGTTACACAAACTAAACCCTGTAGCCACCAGGAAGTGAAAGGATGAAAATACAGCCTAACTCTAATGACCACTGAGTTACAATTTTTTTTAAAAAAAAAGTCTATCAGCATGTTTTTAAAAATCACCCTAACTGCATGCAAAGCTCAGGAAAAAAAGAAAAACACATGAAATAGCTTGGTCACGATGACCAGTTTCTGAGGAATGTTGTTATCCACAACAGTCTGGGAACTGTTATGGGTCATCCTGTCCACAAAGAAAATAACTAAAAGAGGCAGGACTCAAGGCAAGAAGGGAAAACTAGAAAGAACAAGGGCCTCTGCCAATAGATATAGATAACTCCCTGACTGGAGAGGACATTCTCCCTGCCCCCCATTATCTTAAGGCCACTGAGCCCGCTGGTCCTAGAGAAAGAAAACCCCCTAACCTTGCAGGTGCTCTAAACAATCCCATCTTGTAAAAACTGTGTACTCTGCAATCTCTGTAACCTAGGAAACCTTATTAACCATTCCAAGTTTTGAATTGTCCCATGACCTTGCTTTTAGGCCTAATGAAAATAACAGGCTAGCTTTGAAACTGGCCTTGTTAGCTTTGATGTAAATCCTATAAAAGCTGTCTCAATTCTGTCCTCGAGTTCCTCAGGCCCCTGCGTGGCATATGACTGTGGACTCCACGTGAACTTGGAATAAAAACTCTTCATGATATTTTCATTGAGACCGCTTCTGGTGAGTGATTTGGGGTGCTGCCTTTCCTGAGTGGGAGCATGAAGGTCCACGCTCTGCAGGTCTTTCAGACAAAAGGTGGAGAATGGAAGACAGAACGCAAAAGCCTTGTGTATGTAGTAAGATATCCACCCTGCCTACACCTGTAGCGCTGACCACACCGGTTTGAAGCAGGGAGGCACCCAGGTCAGACACCTGGCAGGCAGATGGCCAAACAGCAGAGAGGAAAGCCTTAAAAGAACTGGGAAGGTCCTGGAGCGATGACTCAGGTTAAGAGCACTGGCTGCTTTTCCAGCCGACCAGAGTTCAATTCCCAGTAACTACTTGGTGGCTCGCAACCATCTATGATGAGATCTGATGCCCTCTTCCGGCCTGAAGGAATACATGCAGGCAGAACACTGTATACATAGAAAATAAATCTTACAAAGAGCTGAGGAACCTGAAGTGTGGAGTTGGGGGAGTTAAGATCATTCTTAGACTCTTCTCAGCATTTGAATGAAAAAAAAGCACAATTGTGTCTTCCTGAGTCAGAAGGGCAAGCTGACCTCACTGAGCCTCAGGGTGACTGGGTGGGTAGGGACTGTGCTGAGTGGGTTGAGGTAGAATGAGGGTGAAGGGGTCAGGAATTCTGACAATGAATAAAGAACCCACCTTCCTAGGGATGGATTTTTAGCCAGGTCCCGGGCTTCTCTGGGACCTGCCGAGGCTCGCCGAGTCTCCCCTTGCGCCATATTCATAACTCAATACCTTTCTAAAATGCAGGGAAAGGAGCATGGAGAGGAAATACTGAACCCAAGCAAGATAAGAAACTAGCTGTGCAAACCCCACACTCTGCAGCTCCATGTCAAGACACTTCAGATCTCCAACTCTGTTCTGTCCATTGACTGCAACACACTTCTCTCCCTTGAGCTGGTTCCACTCTGAGCAGCTCTCCTGGACAGGCGTGCCCCTGCTCTGGCGTCTCTAACACTCCAGGTTTCACCTCACAGCTTCACAAAATCACCTCTCTAGGCCTCCATTCAGGGACACCCCTGGCCTTAGCTCCTTCCCTTGGATGTGAAGGCAAAGTCCATAACCTGTTTCTATCCTTAACTCTAAAGCCAGGACCATGTGGCCAGAGCTGTCAAGTTCTGCTGCTTGTGTGGTTACATCTTCACCAG